CCCCCCAAAAAAAAAAAAAATTATCTCCATGAAAGTCCGTGATGGGAACATTCTACTCCAGAAACCACTGACTGAAGATCACGGGACAGGGGCCAGTAGTTAGCGTAATGGCTATGTTGCTGGACTCCCATGTAGTAGATCACGGTTCGAGTCCTGGACCCGGTGGCTTAAAATCACACCGGGCGCGTGTGCGTGCGTGCCCAAGATCCCAAGAGGAGAATGGAGAAGGGATTGCGGTGTGGCCATCCTCCCTGGGGGGTGATTTCTCGCTTTCTATCTCTGTCTCTCTCTGTCTGTCTGGCGCACGCACGCACCCTATAGCCAAAACCCCTAAAAAAATAAAGATCACAGAACAAACAGCTCTAAACTTGAACGTGTTTTCAAGTGCTCATACGTCATCTGCCTTGGTTGATGGTTTTAGGAAATAAATAAAACATGTACAACCCTACAGAGTTAACATAATGTAACTACAAATAAAATAATGAAACTAAATTCTCAGTGAGCATTTTACAAGTTACGTAAGCGAAGCCAATGGATTATGTGTTTTCATACATATTTTTCAAAGTCCCTGTTCTGGAATTGCCTTGAGACCTTGACTATGAAATTAGTTCATGAATTCTTGTTTTCAATTTTTCAATCCTTTAGGATTGAAAATCCTAAAGGACAAGGACTTGCCATCGCCAATTTTATTGAGAAGACCACACTTCAAACCCTGAAGGCAACTGCGAAAGAAAAATAATGAAAGGTTGAAATGAGATTGGAATTCTCAGAACACAGGGCTCAGTGATGGCTCAGGGGTGTTCTTATGGGCAATGACGTTCTCTTGTTTTTGGAATTATTAGACACTCTATTAGGAAATCTTACTAAGCTTAAAAACCATGGAATCTTATCGGAATAAGTGTCATATTTATTTTATTTATTTTACTTTTGGAGAGATTTTTGCTATAGGGCACATGCGCTTGCCAGAAAGAGAGAAAGACAGAGACAGAAGCTGAGAAATCACCCCCCCGGGGGGATGGCCAAGCCACAATTCATTTTCA